TGAATTCATATAACTAACGTGCAAAAGATTATTACAACGTATTACCGTAGTGAAATTCTGGGACTTTATTAAAGTGATTTAAATAGACGAAAACAAAACTTCAATGATTTTGACCATTTTTTTTCTATCAGAGAACCATGTATATACAGTACTATAATTACTAAAAATAATTGTGCAAAATACATAAAAACTAAACAGGCAATGCTAATGACTGTACAATTATTGAGCTTAACAGCTATGAATATTGGTTTATACAAAGCCTTAAAATTGCTCTAATATCTTTTGTTTTCACATTTATGGGTTTCTCAGCAGCGCAAATTATCATAGTTGGGTAAAAACGTTTACTTTTACGTTCGTTTTTTTTTTTTTTTTTGCATTCTAATTTGCTCAAAAAAAATCCATGATAGTGTTTTCATGACTTGACATGAAGAAATTTTGTGTGTCTGATAAAGGCAGCTAGAAGAAAAAACAATCCTAGGGGGCACCTTGATGTAAAAAAAAACAAAAAACATCAAAAACATATAAAATATGCACTTTTACTTAAAAAAGGGCAATTTGATGTCAATTTGCATGTAAACTACCTTGATGTCAAAACAACATTAAATTGACATGTCAAAAGTCAAATGCAGCACTTTCCTGTAATTGGTTTTTGACATGCTTTTTGGACACCAATATTAGACGTTATTTTGATGTCATTCTGACATCAGTGTACAGTAGTTTGCAAGCATTTTGTAGGCATAGAAAATCCAGAGTGAATTGATCCTTTGGAATTGAATCTTTTAGAAAAATCAGTTCATGCATCAAAGTGTTAACTGCCACTACGCACTATTTAGCACTGAGTCTAGCCAGCGGTATGACTGAGAATGCATGAAGCTTTATAAGCCTAAGAGACTAAGTCATCACCTTCTTCTATATTCACTTTGACTGTGTTGTCTCTATAGAGACTCGCAAGAGATTTCTGTTGGAGGATTCTGACGTCTAAGGGGTTCAACCACAAAAAACAGACATCACATGGACAAAGAAAGACGGCACACTCACTAGCACCATAAAAGGATGCACACAATACTCTGAGACCGAATGATAGATCAAGTCTGAAATCTTACCAGATGCCGTATTGATGTGAGCAGCCTCTCCATCAGCAGTCACTTTAAGAAACACCTGCAGAAGACAAGAGGCAAAACTTCCATTTTCATTCGTTCATTTTCTTTTCAGTTTAGTCCCTTTATTAATCTGTTTTTTTTTCCTTCACTTTCGTTTGTTCCTCGCCACTGTCGCCACTGGCTGGCTTGGTTTGGGACTTGTGGAGCTGCGCATCGATGGATTTACTCTTCAGTGTTTGGACTATCAGCAGGGAAATTTAAACCACAATGAACTGAACTAAACTGAACTGAACTGAACTCTGAAAACTTGACTGACAGTTTCAATTTACTAGAACTTTTATGTTAAGCTGCTTTGACACAATCTACATGGAACAAGCACCATAGAAATAAATATAAATAAGCTAAATTGGCAGTAGTGTATGTGTTTGAACGTGAGTGTGTACGGGTATTTCCCAGTACTAGGTTGGGGCTGGAAGAGCATCTGCTGCGTAAAACAAATGCTGGATGAGCTAGCAGTTTATTTCGCTGTGGTGACCCCTGATAAGAATAACTAAGCTAAAGGAAAATGAATATATGAACGTAATAAAATATCCTTTCTAAATATATAAATAAAGGTGGCACAGTGGCTCAGTGGTTAGCAATGTTGCCTCACAGCAAGAAGGTTGCTGGTTTGTGTCCACGCTGGGACAGTCTGCATGTCTGTGTGGAGTTTGCATGTTGTCCCCGTGCTGGCGTGGGTATCTTCTGGGTGCTCCAATTTCCCCCACAGTCCAAACACATGCGCTATACGTGAATTGGATTAACTTAATTGGCCATAGCATATGAGTGTGTGTGTCTGTGTGTATGAGTGAATGTGAGAGTGTTTGGGTGTTACCCAGTACTGGGTTGCAGCTGGAAGGTCATTCGCTGCGTATTACATATGCTGGAATAGTTGGTGGTTCATTCCGCTGTGGCAAGCCTTGATAAATAAGGGACTAAGCTGAAGGAAAATGAATATATAAATAAACAAAAAATAGTACTTTTATATTGTATTGGTACAAACCAACACAGTGACACGTTTACTTTATTTTCTTAGTTAATAGCACATTCTGTGACTGACAGACCTCCTCCAGTGAAGTGTCTGACACTCCGAAGCTGCTCAGTCCCATGTCGGCAAGCGTCTCCTCCAGCTCTCTAAACAGACTGGCATAAGAGCGATGTTTGAAAGCACGGCTGGGCAGCAGGAAGGTCAGCTCCTGTCCGATGACCTCTATCAACCTGGCCTCTGGGACGTGATGGTGGACGAGCGCTGTGATGCTCTCAATGTTTCCTGAAAAAGAAAGATTATATGTAACAATTTGCAGTATAATTTTATTGATCTAAAACTTTGTTTATAGTTGATTTGTGGAGACTTGTATTTCAGTATGGTAATGCACCGACTTCCAACCAAAACAGAATAAGGATTGGGGTGGCTTTCTTTTTGCCTCATATCATTCCCTCATAGCAAACTATTGGTGAGAAACTTGTGATTAATAATATTGTGGCTGAAGCCATCAAACTAAGGTCAACAGAGAAGAACTGTCACTCCAAACACAGAAGCATATGGTGAATTTGATTGACGATAACCAAAACAAACTTAAAGAATAACAATGTGCACAAGCAAAATAAACACTGTTCATTTAGATTTCACATGGACTTTAAAGGGCACCAATTTTACTCCTTTTTCAAGATTTAAAACAAGTCTTTTGTGTCTCTAGTATGTGTCTGAAAGGTTTCAGCTCAAAATACCCATCAGATTATTTATTTTTATCAGAATATTAGAAATTTGAGCCGTTTTGACTTTGTACTAGCTGTTGTTGTTGCCTGTGGCTTTAATGGAAATGAGCTGGTTCTCCCCACCCACCGTTCCCACGTGCGTGTCAGAGCCTAAGAGATCGCTCACTAATGCTATAATGGGTGTAGCTTCTCCTGCTGCATCTCATGCATAAACAGCACAGTGACAGACAAGAATGAAGCAGATTTTCCTCACTACAGTAAGAACTTTCTCAACGGTTATTTGATATATTTGTTGTGGAGTTAAATCAAGCCTTTCTGCAACGATGAGTCACACACAATATCGTTATAAAGTTTACGCGTGAATGCGTGTTTAGCTTTGCACTGTTTTTGTACGGCAAATGTGACAGGATACAGATTCATATCCAATGCTGAATCGACATCTGTTATGCTATGTACAAAATAAACCGGATTTAACATTCATGAACCGGTATTGAAGCATCTTCTTTAATAATTGTACTAACACGTGGCTATGATGATGCATTACAAAATGATTTTACTGTCTTTATTACAAACATACACTGTTTTTGAAACGTTTTAAACTTGTAAAACTCATTCTTGAGGCTGCCAGTCATGAGTTGAACAGATTGCTTAATCCCAGTGGCTTTGCGTACTTCCTGTCTTGTGGATATGATTATATGCCTTACTATGGTGGCATGTTAATATGCGGCTGTCATCCAATTTGGTGGGCGGGGAAACTGCACTCTTACTTCACATTGCGTTGGGCTTCAAAATGGGAGGGATTTGGATCCTATTTTAACGTCAGGAAATCAAAAAAAGAGACTTATTGTCTTTTTATCACCCCAACATGCCTGTAAACACACTATATCCACACACAGTAACATAAGATGATTTTCATTATAGGTGCCCTTTAAAATGCTCCTTTTGATATGGTTACACTTGGAACATTCACTACCCTGGAGTTTTTGTACCCTCAAAAACTGTGTTTTAGTTGAGGTGGTGTTTCAACATCAAAATTCAAAGAAACCAAGATGACAGAATTGATAACAATGAGAGTTTTAAATAACTTACACTCTTTGACCAGATTGTTTAGGTTGTTTTTATGCAGAAAAAAGTGACACTGTGTATCTAAATGGTCAGTTGTTCAGTCATAAAATAAAGCTATCACTGCCAACTTAAAAGTGATATTAAATAGCCTGCATATATAGCAAATGTATGCAGTATAAATGTATATAGACTACAGTTTGTACTATAATTTAATAGCTAAATCATAATTGAAACAGGGGTATCATTTTCTGATCACAGGGATCATTTTCTGTTTAAAAAAGTACATGATTTTTTTTAAATGTCTTATTGGCAGTTTGTAAAATAGCTATCCCTCAATGGTTTACATGGGTACCATCTGCAAAGACTTGAGGCTGTAATTGCTGCCAAGGTACATCAACAAAGAATTGAGCAAAGGCTGTGAATACTTCTGCACATGTGAATTTTCAGTTTCTTTCATTTTTAATAAATTTGCAACAATTTAAAAAACTCTTTTTCACATTTTCATTATGGGTATTGTGCGTAGAATTTTAAGGAAATAAATCAATTGAATCCCTTTTGGAATAAGGGTGTAACATAAAAAAATGTGCGCTATGAATACTTTCCGAATGTGTTTCTGATTATTTCACCTGCTACTGATTATACTTAAACAAGAAGTTAGTTATTTGCATAATCCTGTCTACCCGTGATATAAATACATGCTAAAATTGGTGTTTCATATTACACATGGAATAGATTACAGACATGGTCAGCTGACCCATAACAGCAGAGTTGGCTTAAGGAAGAGCAACAGGTTTACAAACCTTAAGGACTCTTAAGTTGATTTAAACAAACTGTATCAAAATATTTTAAAATATGATTGATTGAATGATATTAACTGCATATTCTGAGAAATTTTTTTAATATTTTCTGACTTTAAATGCATTTAAACCTGTTGTAGGAAAGTCCAACACATTATTAGGACACTTAAAAATAACACATGACCTGCTGTTTAAAAGCACACAAGTGTAAATGCAGCCTGATATAAACATACAGTGTAAGCACTTTACCTTCCATCTGTCTCTCACTGACTCTGGGCTTCTCAGTGTCGCTCGCTTTAAATTTGGTACAGAGTGAGCACTTACAGGAGCAGTCATCAGTACAGTCGCATTGACCCTGGAAGACCACAGCAAACATGTATGTAGGTGTATTATACGGTGTAAGATTAATAAGGTAGATAATTAAGGTCTTACCTCCTTTCTGACAGGAGCTGGCTGCTCTTTAATGCGTCGCACTAGAGTGAGGTAAAACCCAGCGCCCAGACAGTTCTTGAGGAAAAGAGGAGAACCACAGCAGTACAGTCGACCCTGAGAGATGATGGCCACACGGTCACTCAGCAGATCCGCTTCATCCATGTGGTGAGTGGACAAGATCAACGTTCGGCCTGGATAACAAAAACACACACATACAGTACACAAAGTTGGTTGTACATGTGTGCTTAGAGAAAAAAGATGCACAAAACAAAATAAATATACTACTACTACTACTACTACTACTACTAATAATAATAATAATAATAATAATAAATAATGCTACTAATAATAATAATAAAAATTACAGTAATAACAAAATAATATTAATAAAAATAATAATAACAATTACTAATATTATTATTATAATTTATTAAATGTTTTAAATGAAAGATATATAGATTTTTTAAATACAGATTCAATACTATTCAAATGCTGGATTGGTGGATTATTTAATATTATGTAGTTTGCCAGGAGTGTAAAAATAACATAAAATATTTTTCAAATGCATTTATTACTATTACTACTAAAGTTTATAATATAGTTTAATATAAAGACTGTCAGATTGATTGATAAACTGAGGTCAAATATATGAATAAACAATTATAATTAATGCTAATAAATGATAATATTATATATAATATACATGTACATTGAATATATTAATAATAATATAATAATAATAATAATAAAAAAAATAATAATAATAATACAAAAATAAATGACATCAATATAATAATAAAATATTATTTAATACAAAGATGAACTGACAGATTGATTGATAAACTGAGGTGAAATATATTAGGCAACAATTAAAATTAATGATAATAAATGCTAATAATATAAATAACATGTAATAATAATAATTATAATAATTATTATAATAATAATAATTATTATTAATATATTACATATGATAATAAAAATATAATTTGAAACAGGGATGGACTGACATGTTGATAAACTGAGGTGAAATATATTAATAAACAAATATAAATATTGATAATAAATTATAATAATTTACATGCACATTCAATAAATAAAAATAAAAGTCATAAATGGATGGCTCAGTGCATTGATTTATCATAAAATTTGATGCAATTCTCAGGTACCAGCACGGTATTTCAGCAGAAGGTCCCAGATGGAGCGTCTGGAATATGGGTCCACTCCTGATGTGGGTTCATCCAGAAACACCACTTTAGCACCTCCAACAAAAGCCATGGCCACAGAGAGCTTCCTCTGCATGCCACCTGCATACGAAAACAAAATCCCTTTGTTATTCTGCACAAATGTAGCTTTGAAGCAGAACTAGGTTCAGACTGCAGAGGAAGGAATTGTAAAATAAAATAACCCTTCTAAGATTCAATGATCAAACCTGACAGGTTTTGTGCCTCCTCATTCCTCTTGTGAGGGAGACCGAGATCTTCCAGCATGTTTTCCACCTCTAGCTGGGCTTCAGGTAATGGCCTTCCCTTCAGCAGAGAGTAGAACAAGATGTGCTCTGCTACTGTCATACTTCAGAAGAGAAAGATATCAAATAAACAGGATAAGTAAAGTATGACAGACTTAGATTTTGTCCTCACAAAGCCAATCAAAAAGTGTCACATAACAAGGAAATAAAACATTGTGTATCTGTAAAATGCTACTAACATGTTTTACCATATAATGATAGCCATAATGATAGCTGATAATAATAGGACATCATTAACTTGAAATATTAACATACCATTGTTAACATAATGCTACCAAGTTTATTACACTGGAAACATGATGCCACCATGTTATAACACATAGCTAACAGGTTTTACAATATACAAACATGTTCAGACATCCCAAGTCTCCCGGAAGTTCCGCGTGTCACCCGCAAATGCATAGAGACTCCCGGATGTCCGCAAACGAATGATAATCTCCCAGAATTTGAGCGTCCCCCGCCCAGTCCTTAAATACGTGCACACCCCTCTCCATATCGCATCCCTCCTAGCTCTTCAGGTAAGTCGGGCGCAGCTCACTCCCACCGCTCTTCAGGTACATCGCACGCACACGCCCCCACCGCTCTTCACGCACCCACTCTCCCGCAAATCCTCTCTGTCTTCCCCGGATATGACTTTTCCCAACTTGGGATGTCTGCATGTTTTTAGCTTGAATATACAAGTTGATACTTTGTTTTACTTGTTTTTTACTAGATGGTTGGCTTTTTAGCATAAATGTGTAGCATATAGCTTGTTTGTGATGCTAAAAACGTTTCTAGTATTTTGCTAACATTAATTAACATGTTGCTAACATATTTCTATTATGATTTCCACATTCCAAGCATGAATTAGCAAGTTAATTGCTAACATAAATTAAGACAAGTTTTTTTCTTGAAAAATATATTGCTATATATATTGCTAGTTTGTTTTATTTTTTTACCAGATTGCTAGCATTTTAGCATGTTAGAGGAAATTAATTATTATGAAACTAGCATCCCTGCTGAAAAATCCAGCTTAAACCAGCCTAGGCTGGTTGGCTGGTTTTAGCTGGTTGACCAGCTTGGTTTTAGAGGGGGTTTGGCCATTTGGTTTAAGCTGGATATAGCTGGTTTTGGCTGGACTCCCAGCTTGGCTAGGCTGGTCAAGCTGGTTTTAGCTGGTCATCTCCCAGCCTGACCAGCTAAGACCAGGCTGGAAATGGCTGGAAACCAGCTTGGAAGTGGCCAAAACCACTCTAAAACCAGCTAAAACCAGCCAACCAGCCTAGGCTGGTTTAAGCTGGATTTTTCAGCAGGGTATAGCATGACTAACAAAACACAGACAACCTTTCTAGCATTCATTAGTATTTTCTCCGCTAACATTAATTAGGATGTTGCTAACATGTTTCTAATATGTTGCTAGCATGAATTAACAGATTGCTAACATGTTTCCGGCATGAATAAAATATGTTGGTACATGTTTCAGTTAGCATTCTGTTAGCATGTTGTCAACATGTTTCTAACTTGTTTCACTATGTTGTTAACATATTTGAACATCACTAGCATGAATAAACATGTTTTTTTTTCCCCATGGTTAGCGTATTGCTATGATTTAACACATTGCTAATGTTCTAGTATGCTGCTAGCATGATTTGAAACCAGTTTAACCTGATTTCAGACACAAAATAAAAAACATTTAGAGTCAGACTAGTCCTGGTTTGGGGGTGGTAGCTTAATGAGATCATAAAATGTTATCTCAGAAGAAAAAGCTGCATAAATAATAGATCAGTATTCTCACAGCAGATGTATAAACATCCTTCACAGTGAAAACACATAAAGGTTTACGAACTGGTGAAAGATGATATTATGCTGAGGGCACATTCCCAGAGATTTACGAATGGCGTCCATGTCAGTTCGTATATCCTTCCCATAAATGTATGCTGTGCCAGAGGTGGGAGGAAACATGCCGGTGAGAACAGACCTGTAGAAAAGAAGAGAAAACATCCAACGCATGATGTTACCATATATAAACAAAGATCAATATCGGTGAGTTTGGAGACTGTACGTACATTGTGGTAGTTTTTCCTGCACCATTGTGGCCGAGGAAGGCAGTGATCTGACCCTCATAGAAGGTGAGACTCAGACCATCCACAGCAGGTCTAGAGCTGCCGCTAAACACCTTATACAGATTCTCCACACACACTCCAGCCACCAAACCTGATGGTTCGGGCTCAAAAAATACCTTCCCTAAAGGAATACAAGATTGGAAAGTTATTAAGATGGCTCCACACCGTAAAATAAACTCTTGTTGCCTTTCTTTTAGTCGAATCTCATTAATTTTTCTAGTCATCTCAAATTACATTAATCAAACTAACTAAAAATATTAAGTTAAACTTTGTATAACCTAAAAAAATGAGATTAAAAAACGATTATTTTAAGTCAGAATTGCAAGTTATGAAGTCAGAAATCTGAGTTAGAAAGTCGCTATTCCGAGTTATAATGTCACAATTCTGAGTTATAAATTCGAAGTTATAAAGTCGCTATTCCGAGTTATAAAGTCGCTATTCCGAGTTATAATGTCACAATTCTGAGTTATAAATTCGAAGTTATAAAGTCGCTATTCCGAGTTATAAAGTCGCTATTCCGAGTTATTAAGTCAGAACTCCGAGTTATAAAGTCGCTATTCCGAGTTATAATGTCACAATTCTGAGTTATAAATTCGAAGTTATAAAGTCGCTATTCCGAGTTATAAAGTCAGAACTCCGAGTTATAAAGTCGCTATTCCGAGTTATTAAGTCAGAACTCCGAGTTATAAAGTCGCTATTCCGAGTTATAATGTCACAATTCTGAGTTATAAATTCGAAGTTATAAAGTCGCTATTCCGAGTTATAAAGTCAGAACTCCGAGTTATAAAGTCGCTATTCCGAGTTATAAAGTCAGAACTCCGAGTTATAAAGTCGCTATTCCGAGTTATAAAGTCAGAACTCCGAGTTATAAAGTCGCTATTCCAAGTTATAAAAGTCACAATTCCAGGTCATTCAGAATTGCAACTTAATAACTCTGAATTCTGACTTTATAATTCGGAATTGCATCTATAACTCGGAATTCTGACATTATAACTTGAAATTGCTACTTTATAACTTGGATCTGCGACTTTATAATTCAGAATTCTCACTATAGCTCGGAACTCTGACTTTATAACTCGGAATTACAACTTTATAACTCTAAATTTTGACTTTATAACTCAAAATTGTGACTTTATAACTCGGAAATGCAACTTTATAACTCAGAATTCTGACTTTATAACTCGGATTTGCGAAATTATAACTTGGATTTCTGACTTTGTAACTCGGAATTGCCACTTTATAACTCAGAACTCTGACTTTATTACTCGGAATTGCAACTATAACTTGGTATTGTGACTTTATAATTTATTATTTATATTTAATTATTTATATATATTTTTTTACATTTTATTAAACATTTATTTTTTTATTATTCTGTGGCAGAAATGGGCTTCCATATTTTCCGTTAAACATCACCTGGGGGAAAAAAACTGATCAGAGGGTTTTATATTTATTCTTAGTGTATTTATAATTATTTTAAAACAAATTTAAAAAGCTTTTAAAATATTATTAACAAAGAATGAATTGGAAAAACAAAATCTGAAGTATCTATTATTTTGTATGAAACCATGGCTACCATGGTAAATGTTTAATAGGAAAAGCTACGTTTACACCATGATCCGTGAGAAGAAAGGAATGTTACAGTCACAGGTAACAGAATAAACATCCCTAACGTTTCTAATATACATTAACTGGTAATAAGACAAACACAGAAACCAGCATTCCAATCCACCAGCCGAACAAACAGACACAAGGTCAGTGTATTTCCAGAAAGGACACTCACAGAGGTGAATTTGTGCATCAAGTGTGTACATGTGGACTTGTGAGTCATATACATGCCTGGCGCCACATTATACAGTGTGCTTGAACTTAAGACAGGCTGGCAAGTGCTGATGGATAATGCCAGCCAAACTAAGACTGCAGTAATTACTCCCATAGGACTCCGTCGGTTCAAAGCCAAGAAACCTGCTGGATGCCTGCGCTCTAGTCAAGCAGATAAGCCTGGTAAGGTGTAGGGATTCATCTGATGGGATCCTTTCCAAGGGGTAAGAAAAGAAACAACACCTTCCTGTTTGTTGTAATAGGCTCCTTCACAAAATACTGTACAGCAAAATGAAAGTTTTCCCCTGAAAGATACTATATATATTTTTTAAGAAAGTATTATGTACTTTGGAGAGCCACAATACATCTGACAGAATAAACAACGAAATATGAAATTATTTATAGGGTTTCTAAATTTAAACACATTTCAATCACTTTCCAGGTGTATTCTCGAACTTTTTTGGCACTTTACAAGTGTGGCAAATTACCAACCCAGTCTTATTATTGATACATACCCCTGCATACATTTCTGGACAGCAGGAAATACGTCTCAGGAGCCACGTTTTTTTGCAGCTTTTGTTTTCGCGTATCCGCCAGAAGCCACTGTGTACGCTTTTTCAGATCTCAAATTTGTCTCACGAGTGCCATTCGAGCCTGCTGTTGTTGTGCAAATCTACCAGAGGCCGCTGTCGACTACCTGACTGACTGACTGACCGACAGACGGTCCGACCGGCCAACGTATATCCCCACCCACCCCATTCTCTATACCCAACCGACAGTGTTTCCAAAAGCACTGATCCACCCACCACCTTCCCTAAACCCTTTTAAAACTTAAACTTTTAAAAACAATCCAGAAAAAGAAAAGCCCTCGTGGCCTCCTGATTTTTACAACGTTTTCAGATCTTACCATGTTCTCGCCCTGTTATTTACTTGTTTGTTTATTTTTTGCCTTTTGTTTTTGTTCTACCTACTTTATTTAATCGTT